TTGTCTGTAACTCACTATTATTTGTCTGTTTTCCTGAGAAACTATCTTGTAGATAACAATATGTAAAACAATAACCACTGATAATTTCCTACCACTTTGTCTGTAATCTGGTAAGCCCCCCCTATTATTATGTTATCCTTCTTTTACTCTTTAAAATAAAACATAAATAAATAAATATTTTTTGGTAAAAAAAAAAACCCACAGCATATCATTCTATTGTGTTTTAAAAAATATGTACATCTTTAGTTTGAAGCCTGTGCAATGACTGTATAGTAAGTCTGGCAAAGAAAACCATACAAGGCACAGCCAGTTAGTAGAAGACCAGCTAGAAAAATAAGACCAAATAAAAATTAGTTTTCATCAAAGCTAAAATCTGTGTACAAGCAGACTGATAATTTAGAGCTCTCTAATGTACTGTGGTATTCAATCATGAAGGAGACATGGAAGAGAAAAAAATTTTCCATTTACAGAGCACCGAGTGTACACCTCGTGCACTTCTTAAAAAAGAACTACTTAAAGAGCAGTAATGGACTTATAAAAGTATTCTTTTCTTAAATTCATACTGAATATTTTTCAATACAAAAATTTTAAATCTACATGTCATGTTGGTGTTGTGAGGGGATATTAAAGGAATCAGTGTGTTTCAGCTCTAACTTTCTGAGATGAATAGCAAGGACAATAACCAAGCCTTCCCATTATAATCCTTTGGTGTCTTTGCCAGAGACAGAACCCAGGCCTGGATGGAAATGATTCATTTATTTAATCCAACCCTTGGAAACACATAAAGGAACATTTAAAGCATGTCCTTTGTCTTTAATCAATTTTCCATAAACATTTAAAAAGTCGCTAATACAAATATGAGATATTTGTAATATAAATCTTTTATTTTTCCCTATGTGTCATATATGTAAAAATACAGCAGGAAAAATTCTTCACTTAAAGTCGTCTTTCTTTTGTCAACCAAATGGAGTGAAAACATGTCCTACCTGCCTGAGAAAGTCCAGAATTTGCATCCCACTGCTTCGTGGAGATTTGATTATGCAGTTATTCATCAAGTTTTCATTTAGTCAGTGGAATTATGAAAACAAAATCATAATGAAGTCAACACTGAGGATGAAATTATACCAAGGGGTAGGTTTTAGAAAGCTGTATTAAAGTTTTTCTTCATTGCCGGACCATTATCCTAGCTTTCTGGATGTTGGTCAGGAATCATTTGCCAGTAAGAAAGATGAAGAATTTTCAAGATGTGTTGATGGAACATTGGAAAGTCCTCATTTTACCTCTGCCTACTGGCATTCTTCTGTGTCTGCTTAGGGATTTTATGACAGAGAAGGTTATTTTAACATCAGAAGACTTTTTAAATTGCTATGGCAGGCTAAATGCATGAAGTTGTTCTCCAGTTACTTCATAAAGTAGACAACAGTAACAATCTTGATTGTGTCTTTGCTCAAACACAAATTTTAAGTAACTCCCCTAAGCAGTGTATGACATCTCAGAGCCAAATTTGAAACCAAGAAGCTGGCTCTGTGAATGCTACTAATAGGAATACAGGTGTTTAAGACTGTTGGTTACAGGTGAGGTCAATGTAAAAAGAATTACAAAGGCAGGATGCTAAAAAGTTAGCCTGCGATGGGCAATGGGAAGTTATTACTCAAAAGCAGCTCCTTGATTCTAGTTCAAGACTGCACAAATGTTCTTGACTCTTTTCCTCATTTGTTAAATAAGGTCTGAATAAACTGATGATAATGAAGAGAATTGTAGGTGTACATAAAGAAATTGGAGACTTTAACAATTTTCTGGAAGTCTGAAAGTACATAGAAGTCTGCTGATGAAAAAGTAAGGAAAGCTAAATGAAGGTGAAAGCCAAACTCCCCATTAGAACTCCAGAGTGGGCTAAGGACAGAGTATGTAGGCATAGAGCATCGGAAGAATGAAACGAAATAGGAAGACACATTTGATGCCCAGCTATAGAGCTAACATATTTGTATCTCCACATCACACTCTTATTTCCTTCTTCCCATCATGTAACACACTTACTCTCCTGAAAACCATTGAAAAGGTGCCAAAAAAGAGCTATTTTCCCTGTATGGGTACAGATAGCCAGAATTAGCCCTCATTCTGGGTTTGGGGAACATCCCATTTACAACATAGTTGTCTGTTTGTGACCCAAAGGAATAGTTGTCAGTCAACAAGGCTTACCCAGAGAGAAAATTCCCAAATAGTCTTTGCATTCAGAGGAGGGTCTTATGAGGATGTGCACTTACACAACATCAGAAATCCATATTGACTACTTGGATTGAACAACCCAGTTTTAAAATTCTGAAATATGAACAAATTGATAATTAGTCATACAAAGATGCCTAGAGGCAAAGAAAAGAGTAAGATAAACAAATAAAACTGATCTGTTAAATACATAATTCAGGAAAGCAAAAAACACTTTTGAAAATTGCTAGCAATCCTCCCAGAGAGATCATGGGATATTTTGCATCCAAAAAATGGTGTCTGCTCATCAGACCTAGAATTCAAATACTCAAAATTAGAACCATCCATTGTTCTCTCAGTGTATTCTAATGAGTCTGACTTAAAATAAGGAATGGAATGCCTCCAGTCAATAAGTAAAAATAATTAAATCTTGTAAGAAGTTTAGAAGTTTAATTAAAACTTGGAAGAGATTTTTTTCTCTAAAAAATAACAAAAACCAGAAGGTACTTTAAAAATTATTTACTAAAGTCTACATCTAAAATAAATCCCAGAGTCCTAATTTTTTAACAAGTGTATTAGGAAAAAATTCATTTCACTTGGATATTTAGGATATAAACATCCTAATACATTTTAAATTTTTCATATA